GTAACTACTACTTTATTTATTTAGGGGGCAAAATGCTTTTGGAGTAATTCAGGGAGTCCTTCAAGATCGCAAAAAAAAAAAAAAAAAATGTATCACTTTAACCATTTTGAGTGGAGAATTCAGTGCCTAATGGTACTTAATAGTACGTTTACATTGTACTTCATCACCACTATCTATTTCCAGAACATTTTCATCACCCCAAACAGAAACTCTGTACCCATTAAACAGTAACTCCACAACTGCCCCCCTCCCCTGTCCCTGGTAACCTCTAATTTCTGTCCCTATAAATCTGCCTATTCTAGGGACCTCATATAACTGGTATCATACAATGTTTGTCCTTCCGGGTCTGACTTACTTCACTCAGCATAACATTTTCAGGGTTCATCTATCTTGTAGCATGTGTTAGAATTTCCTGCTTTTACAGGCTGAATAATATTCCATTTTATGGATATCTGCCTTTATATATGGGCTGAGCTGTTCCTTGTCCAGAGATGTCTTTCTCTTCCTCTTCACTTGTCTATCCTTTAAGACTGTGCAAGCGCCACCTCCTCTGTGAAATCCGCTATAAGCGCATTCTTAACTAGAACATTTTACACTGAAACTTTGTAATATAAAACTGATAATAGATTTCCTCATTCTTGTACCATATAATTTGGGACTTTATGACTCGCCATCTCTTTTCGGTATTTTATTGTAAATGTTTACGTCTGGTAGAGTACCAGACAGACAGCTGCTTCTGAACCATTTGTTGATTGATTAACTGCCTGTTGTCAGGAAATAAGTTTCTCTTCAGAAAAGTAAATATTCCAGAAGCTAGTTTGGCAAAAGCAAACATATATTTCTCTTCATTTTATCAACAGACCTTTAGCTAAGATCATCTTGATGTTCTTTATTAGCCACTTAAAATAAAAGAAGATAGTCTCTCGTGAAGTGAGTAACTCATTTGCTTCTTCTGTAGCATTTTTGGGTTCCTTTCTCATTTCTGAGTCTCTCAGAGGCACTCATACAGACTCTATTCCTCCCGCTTTGTTCCTCTCCTCATTTCCTCCCCCTTCTTCATACCCCACACAGACACACACAAGACACAGACACAGACACACACAGACACAGACACAGGCACACACACACACACACACACACTTCCAACCCTACATGCCCACTCTCACTCAATACTTGGCTTTATGCTGCCCTGAAGGAATCCTTGTAAGCATGGCTCAGAGGTTGCTGCTGCTATAGGATGGTGGGTTAACATCATTGGTTTTGGTTAATAAATTAAAATAAGTACCTTTCAAAAGATCAGTTAATTGGAAGATACTAGATTCAACTCTTAAGTAAGCAAGTTTGGCATTGTTTCGGGGTTTCTTATTATCTATATAATTTGTTCCCATGCAGTCTTTTTTTTTTTTCAGTGTAGGAGAAATCCTCTTTTGCTATTTCTTGGAATCACTTTTAGCAAAAGACAATATTATTTTCCCTTCATGATGTCAGTCTTCCCCTTAACAGCTTAATCATGTTTCAGTGATGTATATTCTCTTATTCCTCAAGTGTTTAGAGCCAAATGAATGACAAATGATCTTCCTGTTCATCAAGATAATTACTAATGTTCCCTGAAACTCGAAAACACCTACCTCTCAATTTGTAACATTTTACAAATATTTCTTAGAAAGATGGGCGCTAAATGATCAGAATTCCTACAAATGCATTTCAATTGCTTTTTTGGCAAGAGGAGCTTTATTCTCTCTCAAGAGATTTATCTCAACCACTTGGAATTATGTTTCTCCTGGAAATTCTTCACTCCAACTGCACACGCCTGCATTTCTACATTAATAGTCTTGTGCTTTCTTCTGCCCTATCATCTAAGGACTTCTCTTAAAAAAGGAAAAGTTGATATTCTCTCTCTTAAAGAAGACTGCAGAAATGGCTATCCACAGGATGAATGTCCTCTGGCAGTTTCTTAGTAAGACTTTGTATCTACCTAATGGCTAATAATTAGGGGCCATACATTTCTATATGCAAATAATTTATAGTTTGTTAGGCATTAAGCTTTATTTATTTATCCAACAGACATCTGGTGATTACTTATCACGTGTTAGGCATTGTGCTGGGTACTGGAGATACAATGGTGAAGAAGGTATATACAATCCCAGCACTTCCAGCTGGCAAAGTCTAGAAGAAGATATAGAGAAGTGAGCAAACAGGTGCAAAATAGTGTGGTAACTACTATGATATGGAAAGTACAGGCTGCCAGGACAGCTAGTAATAATATTTGTGATGATGATAATAGCCAACTTACGTTTAGCAGTACTATTTCCAGGCCCTGTTATCATTTAATCTTCTCAACAACTCTTTGACATTGGTACTTATTATGATGTCCTTTTATAGATGAGGAAACTGAGGCACAGAAAAATTAGGTAACTTGTCTAAAGTCTCACAACTAATTAGTGGCAGATACAATATTTAGGGGTACCTAACTCAGATTCAGTGACATGGAAAAGGCTTCTAAGAGGAAATGATGTGTAAGCTTGAAGTTAACAACAGGTATGAAGGGTCAGAGGTGACATATCCCAGACAAAGGAAATAATATACACAACACTGGCATTAAGAAAGAGCAAATAACGTCCAAAGAATTGAACAAATTTCAATTTTGGCAAGTGGAAGAGGTGGCGAATTAGGTTGGAGTAAGAAGGGACAGACTGTGAAGGGTGTGGGAGCCCATACTAAAGGGCTTAGATTTTTTTTTAAGAAGAGTAGGAAGCCACTTGAAGTAGGTCGGTGACATGATCAAAACTGTTTTCAAAGCTCCTCTGGTGGTGGAGTGGAGAATGGATTAGAGGGAGGCGAGGGCATCCATGGGGTGTCCCTTCGGATGGCTGTTGCAGTAATTCAGACTCAAGATGATGACAGCCTGCCTAGGGTTAATGGCAGTGGACATGGAGAGACGGGAAAATCTGAGAGATCTTTGGGAGAAAGAGTCCATGGGAATGCGTGACATGAGGGATAGAGAAGGGAAGATGATGCTCTTGCTTGGTGACTGTGGGGCAAACGATGCCAGGTTCTAAGACAGGGAAAAGAGTAAGCAGAACAGATTTAGGGTGAGAATGGGGGATGAGTTCAATTTGGGACATGTTGACTTTTAGGACCTTGTGCCTGGAAGACAGTTGGATAGGTAGGTATGAAGCTTAAGAGACAGATCTGAACTATAATTAGACTTTCAGAAGCCTTCATAATTTAGATAATAATTAAAGGCAGGGGATTCAACGAGGTTGGCTGGGAGAGTGTGTAAAGTGAAAAAAGAAGATGGCCCGCGTAGCGCTGAAGAACTACCTGTCACAAATTGACAGGGGAGGAGGCTCCTTCAGTGGACCCTGAGAAGGGGTAGATAGAAAGGAAGGAGAAAATCCAGAAGAACCTGTTGACATAGAAGGTTAAGGAGAAGGCTTCATATGTAAAGGAGAAAGGTCAGTCTTGTAAAATTCTACCGGAGCTCAAGTAAAAATTAATGACAAGGAGGCTCCTCTAGATTGGATAGTCTAATATCAACCCTGAACGATTTCTGAATATGGAACTAGCCATGCCGGTTTCCATTTCCAGAAGAAAAAGACTTCATTGGATCAAAAAAAAAAAAAAAAAGGTAGAATATAATGTCAAATGACCGTCCAGGAGGCAAAGGCGGCAGCTCATCCCTTTGAAGGATTGTACTTGTCACTTTTATTCAATTCAACCGACTTTATTGAAAGTCTGCTATGGGCACAGCATGGCAGAAGGCTGAACAGGACGTAGTCTGTTCTTGACGCTTAGTTAATGGAAAACATCGGTTACACCTGTTCCTCTTCTCTTGTCCCATAGGTCCAGTTGAATCCAGGACTTGGTGTTAGGAATGGTGAGCTTGCCTTTCTGAATGGCACCTCGGGAGCTGACACGCTCCCCCAGGGCTCCAGGCTGACCCCTGTCTCTGCGATTAGGACCCTAGAGCCGAGAAGCCGAAGGAGCCGGGGCAGGAGGTTCAAGGTGGGGTCCGTGGAGCGGCCTGAGCCTGGTGGGCGGACAGCGTCAGACAGCGCTAGTGGCACTTCGTGGAAAAGCCCTGGCCGCTCAGCCCAGCCCAGCAGCCCAGCTACGGACTCCCAGCTGCCTCTGCCTTCTCTCCACCTCGAACCCGGGGCCAGAATAGAGGTGCTCAGATGGGAAAACAGCTTTGAGAAGCAAGAGGCAGAGACGAATGTTGACACAGGATTCACCGTGGTCAGCTCTGGACCCAGGCAATATTTTCTGAGCAGATTTCCAAGGGATCTTTGGACCCACCAGCCACCATCCTGCTTGTCAACCTCTTCCGTAGGGGCAGCTGCTTCCAAAAACAACAGAATCTTTAAGGAAAGCGTTCATCCTCTGTCACTTGCTGACCAAAGGGACCTTTGTTCCAGGACAATAATCTCAAAATGTCCCCTTCCTCTGCCAGTCCAGGGTGAAGAAAAAGAAGCAGAAGAAGAATTCTTTATATAGCATAAAACAACTGTGGTTTTCTAAAACACAAAATCAAATAGAATGTTCTAGAAATGGAGCACTGACCCAGAATCAGCCGGTTTCTTGTTCATCTGAGGGGCTCTAAATGCTAGCCATGCACAGACCTGTATCAGTTTTATTTCAAATGTTCAAAGTCTAGCAGTGCTCGTGAGTGGTTTATTTGCCGTCATGGTCATAAGGGAACACAGCCAACACACAGGGAAAAAGCCCAATGCCTCTCGTCCTTGGAGACACACTAACACAGCTGGGTGTGTTGAGTTCAGTACCTATCAGGATAATTGCATTATATGCAAATAAGTCAGATGTGTTATGCAATGCTGATTAGAGTCTGTAATTTGGTTTTAATTTTTACTTGCGTTGCATTGTTCATCCCCCTGGGCAGCATGGGCTATTTATTCTTTAGTGTTTTTTAATTTTTATGTGACCTCATTTGGTAACTAGGCCCTGTTCACCACTAACCTCTAGTGACTTTCGTCTTTCAAGTTGTTTGCATCTGGAATGAGTTAACATGCAAAGTGTTTTGAACATTACAAACATTTCTCTTTTTCTCCTGTTTAATGAGCAGCAACCTTGGAAACCAAAAAAATCAAGTTAAAAATGAAAGCTAGGCTCTAGGGTTTTCCAGCTCCTCCATTTCTTGTTTGTTTCCTCACTACCCCAGTGGGGCCCATGGTTCATATAATTAAGCAGAGAGGAGTGGAATGTGATTGGATGATTCGAGATCTCCACTGAGTGTGGCAGGAAGATTGCATTGGTTGGGTCACTAGAGCCGGACTTGGGTTTTTTTGGCCATTTTCAAATTCCTGAATTCCTTTGCAGTACTCATTCATTTATTCATTCATTTATACACCCATTCATGCAACACAGTGTACAAATACCTACCTCTGAATAAGACATTGGTATATGGTACACATACATTCTGTGGCCATCAAACCCAAAACTTATTTATGGTTTCACTGTATCACAAATCCATTCTATCAATTCTTAAGAACAGGTGGAAGTTCAAACTTATTTCTCTGGGAAACATTTCCACAGCTGATTACCACACTTGCTGCACAGGCTGTGGTAAGAATTCACAACCTGTGGATGGAGATTGGGCATATTATGAATTGCAGTTATAATAATGGACAAATTCTTAGTTGCTCATATGATGTATTATTTGGTTGGGTCTATACACACATTTTTAAAAATCTGAGGTCTGTGTGTTTCAGTTAATTTACAAGGTTATTTGACTCCAAGAACTCCATTTTCCAGAACAGATGTTATGTGACTATAAGTGCTGATTTAGCTGGATCTTTTGGAAACCCCTATACTGAGTATACCTAATTGGAGAGAAGGATGAGTTCAGGCTTAAGCCTGAATCTCATGGCAGCGAGACTGGACTGAGTTTGTGTGCTCTGTGCCCCTAAAAGAATAGAAATGGAAGAGAGCTGCAAATGGACGAAGACAAGACTTCTAAACGGATTTCTGTCCTTATACTATCAGTGTATTCTTATGCCCATGTTCTTTCTTTCCCTCAGATTAAAGTTAGATCTTAGAATGTGGAATGAAGAACTTACTTTTGGTATAGTTTTTCTATAATAAGAGTTTTAAAAAAATGAAAGTCTTATTTAAGTTGAACTATTGAGCTGCTTTGAAAAGCACAGCATGCGGTTTTGAAGTTTCTTTCCGACTTTTTTGAGGTTATCTAATTCCTTTAACATAATACATAGGTAGGAATATAAGTACATGGAAAGCATAAAGAATATTGAGGGATTTGAATGAGTAACTTACAAAATTGACTTGTAAAATAAGACTGTACTCTTTTTTTTTTTTTTTTTTTTTTTCTTTGCCATGACTCCGGGGGGAAAAAAAAAAGAACATAATATAAAAAAAAAGTCACCATCCATAGTCTCTGGATTACCTCCTAGAAGATGAGATATCCATAAGGCCAGAGGAGGAGTTATGAACTTATGCCTTCTGCTAGAATAAGTCTTGGAGGCTTTAAATTCTTATAGCTTTTAGTAAAAAAACAAAAAAAATAATGATGACATTCCTGCATCGGCAGGCGGACTCTCAACCACTGCGCCACCAGGGAAGCCCTAGACTGTACTCTTAAAATGTACTCTATTGTATCCTCCTACTCACTATAGGAATCCAATTTACAGCATGAAGGGATGGAAATGCCAGTGGGCTATGTGAGAGAGGCCCAGATTTTGGTCTCAGTTTAAAATTTACTATTTATATGTGACCTTAAACTCTTTGATCTTCTGTTGCCTTATCTTCTGTACCAAGGTTGTTAGTAAAATCAAGATTATGCATATGAAAGCATTTGAATACTCTTAAACACTGTAAATATGTAAGATTATAATCACAAATGGTCCTCCAGACCCACATTTTTAAAATGTCTTAACAACAAAGGATTTTTTTTGAAACAACTTTTAGTGAAAGCAACGCTACAATTAAAAAAAAGAAATCCAACTCTCTAAGATTTTTACTATGTGTGTCATTTATGTTTACACATCTAGGAGGAAAATTATGGACAGAAAGGATCAAATATATCCTAAAGTTCAAAAGAGATTTTATATATGACAGGGACAAACTTATGAACTAGTTTAATCCAAATTATCAAATTATCCAGACTCTTTACTTACTTATACTGTATTTTTAAAATTTTATTTATTCTATTATTCTATTTTATTTATTTATTGTTTCTGGCTGCGTTGGGTCTTCATTGTTGTGTGTGGGCAGTTCTCTGGTTGTGGTGAGCGGAGGATACTCTTTGTTGTGGTTTGCGGGCTTCTCATTTTGCTGGCTTCTCTTGTTGTGGAGCACGGGTTCTAGGCATGTGGGCTTCAGTAGTTGTGGCACGTGGGCTCAGTAGTTGTGGCTCATGGGTTCTAGAGCACAGGCTCAGTAGTTGTGGCGCCTGGGCTTAGCCGCTCTGTGGCATGCAGGATCTTCCCGGACCAGGGATTGAACCCGTGTCCCCTGCACTGACAGGCGGATTCTCAACCACTCTACCACCAGGGAAGCCCTATACTGTATTTTTTGAAATGTAAAATGTATCACAAGTGACTCCTGATGGTCAGATAATTTAATATTTTTATAGGTATATTAAAACTAAGTTGCATTACAGTTGTTTGGCTATTTTTAACCTTAATAGTAGTTCACATTTTTTGCAAGCATTATTTGGATATTGCTAAGCATTAATAGAAATGGTAACATTTAGAAACTTGCAAATGTGTTTGTCTCTTAGCAGAGGTAGAGCAGGGGATTTGCAGGCTAAGAGGGACACACCTTGATTTACAAAGGGAAGTGGCACAGGTGCCTCAGCTATACCCCACCTGCCCTCAGCTCTGATGGTGTTACCGAGTCCAAGCTTGTACTGCTCACTTCATGAAAGGCCAAGAAATTGAGAGACGAGTTGTTGGGGCAAAGAATAGCGACTTTATTCAGAAAGCCAGAAGACTGAGGTGATGGTGGACAGGTGTCCCAAAGAACCATCTTGCTGGTTTTTTTTTTTGTTTTTTTTTTTTTTGCGGTACGCGGGCCTCTCACTGTTGTGGCCTCTCCCATTGTGGAGCAAAGTCTCCGGACACACAGGTTCAGAGGCCATGGCTCACGGGCCCAGCCGCTCCGTGGCATGCGGGATCTTCCCAGACCAGGGCACGAACCCGTGTCCCCTGCATCGGCAGGCGGACTCTCAACCACTGCACCACCAGGGAAGCCCCTTGCTGGGGATTTGGATGCTAGTTTCTTTTATAGAACAAAGCAGGGTGGGGTGAGAAGGTAAAGTAAAAAAGGTGATAAGTTGTTGCAGATATTTCCTGGCTCCGGCCAGACTGGGGAGGGGAGGTGTTAATTTCTTCCTTCCTGCAGCCATTCATAGGTGAGCTTGGTCAGGATGTTTCCTGTGAACTGAACTTAATATTCAGGCATGAGAGACAGGGTTCCCAGAGATGGGCCATTATGTATACTTAAGCTATAGGTAATATCCCTTTATAGTGATTAAGTTGTAGCAAAAGCAATAGAATACAAAGGTTAAGGTAAAAGAAATAGATCTAACATGGAGTGAGATTTGTTCTTCCCTATTACAATGGGATTTTGTGGTGGTGACGCTGGTCTTTCCACCGCTCTACCAACAATGCAGGTACGCATGGGAGGTGCTGATGGCACAGAGAGGGATGGAGGCAAGAGTGGGAGGAGGTGAGAACCCCTTCCTTCCCTCCCAGAGAAAGATGAAGAAAGGGGAAGATGAGAGGAGAGAGAAGAATGGGGCCATGAGCACACACCCATTTTCTGTTGATTGGAAACTCCTAAGTTTCATCTCCTCGCTATAAAACTTAGAAATTCCTGGGATAACTTAACCCTGGCTGCCTTTCTTGAGTCTTCTCCAAGCCAGAGTGTGTGGGCTCTTCCTCCCTTTTTTCTCTTCCTTTTTTCCCCATTCCCCTCCGTTTTCATTCCTTTTTCTTTTCTTTCCTTTCCTTCTTTTCTCTTCCTTCTCTCTCTTCCTCTGTGTGTGTGTGTGTGTGAATTTGATACTCTCTTCATTCTTCACTTTGTTTAAAATACTTTGTCTTTGCAGCATCTCCCAAGATTCCTCAAGGGGTTGACCTGTAGCTGCAACTTCTGATGGCCCCCTTGGCTAAGCTCTGAGAGGCTCAGAAAGAAGATTTGCTCCTTCTCTGAGGAAATTCTCGCTACATTCCAATTCATTGTTGGGGTTCTGCTCTGGGACTGCTCAACCCACATCACTTAGAAACGAGCTGGTCTCTCTTCCCCACAGCTCTCTCCTTTTTCACACCTGTCCAACCTTTCTCTGAGGTTTGAGATGTTTCCTGAGCATTTTTCACAATTAGCAATTTAAAATATTGTCTGTAATTTGTGATAGGAAAACAAAAGGAGCTTATGGCCCCAGAGAGCACATAATTAGGATTTATGTTATTAAGAACTCAAGTCTGCTAAACTTCATTTCAAACACATCATTGAAAAAG